CCTGAACGACTTTGGGACTTTGTCTTGGACTACGTGGTTGACACAATGAATGTTACTGTCAATTATTCAAAGTACTCTGATGGTCGGGTACCTTTAGAAATTATAACTGGAATCACGCCAGAAATCATTGAATATCTGGATTTCACGATATATGGTTGGGTGTTCTTTCGCAGCGATGGCGGCTTGGGCGTCAATCACATTGGACGATGGCTTGGAGTTTCGCACCGTTTGGGACCCATGATGACATATTGGGTTCTCCCAAAGAGCGGTATCCCCATTTCTGTGGATACTGTTGGGATATGACGAAATATGAGTTTTTACGTTCCAAAAGAAACTATTCAAGTACGAGGTTTTCAACACGTGCGATCGGAATTTGATCGTGCAAGATGTCGGGATTCGACGCAAGTATGCTGGACGCAAGTCTGTCGGACAATTTACACCAACATGGAGATTGGTTTATGACGAGGCGCAGAAGGCGAACTCCAAAGGGCAAAGGTGAAACGACGGATAGTGGATGAACATGGAAGACCAATTGGCGTCGCTAGCTCCAACCAATTGCTCGACACAAGACAATATGAAGTGGAGTATGCAGATGGCGGTACTGAAATATTCGCAGCCAATATACTTGCTGAGAATTTGCTTGCACAGGTTGACGAACACGGACATAAGCACCGACTGATGGAGGAGATTTTGGACCACCGTAAAAACGCTAAGGCAATCACAAAAAGTGCAGGATCGATGCTCCTCCCTAGTGGACGGACTCGAAAGCGCCAAACAACTGCTGGCTGGGAACTTCATGTGATCGAAGGACGGATCATCCAATTGGGTAACACTAAAAGACATGAAAGAATCCTTTCCCCTTGAGATTGCAGATTATGCCAAGTTAAAGGCTATTGAAGACGAACCAGCATTCGCATGTTGGGTCCCACATGTACACAAAAAGCGTGATCGTTTTATAAGTAAGGTAAAATCAAAATATTGGGAACGGACCCACAAATACGGTATCCGCATCCCAAAATCTGTCAAGGAGGCTATTCAAATTGATCAAGAAAATGGTGACACCTTGTGGCAAGATGCCATCAAAATGGAAATGAAAAACAATCGAATTGCCTTTGAGGAATTTGGCGGGGACATCAAAAAGCTAATTGGATACAAACGCATCACTGGTCACATGGTATTTGATGTCAAACTTGGTGAAAACTTCCGACGAAAAGCTCGATATTGCGCTGATGGACACAAAACGGAAGCGCCAGCAGCACTGACATACAGCACTGTAGTAGCCCGAGATTCTGTACGAATATTACTCACCATTGCAGCATTGAATGGTTTGGATGTCCAGTGCGCTGACATCCAAAATGCTTTCCTCACCGCACCCAATCTTGAAAAGTGTTACATGATTGCGGGCCCTGAATTTGGAGACGAGGAGGGTAAAACATTCATTGTTAGGCGAGCACTATATGGTTTGAAATCTGCTGAATTAGCATTCAGGTCCCACCTTGCAGAGACATTGGAGAACTTGGGATTTTACTCATCATATGCCGATCCCAATGTTTGGATGCGAGCAGCTATCAAACCAGTCGGGGAAGAATACTACGAATATATTTTGTGTTATGTGGATGACATCTTGTGCATGTCTGAAAACGCTAAAGATGAAAAGGGCACGACCGAGGAGGGTGCGTGTGCGTGGGAAGTGCAAGGGCTCCATTTGTCCAAGGAGACTTTAAAAGGGAACAAACAACAATTCTAATGCAACAGTCACTTAGAACGATATAAAATTGATACATTATCTATGCTAGTGTTGCTCTGTAGTCGCGTTGGTGGAGCACAAGATGCAGAAAACATCACTTTTGACACACATTTTGATGATGAAAATGGCAATTTGACAATACTTTTCGGTCAGGGACATGCCGAAAAAATCTGTAAATGATTTTTTTGGTCAAAAATGGCACTCCTTCCAGAAGGAGAAAAGCGAGCCATTGTCCTTCCGCCAGTGCGAGAAATTGCAAAAGGCCTCAAATGTCTGTAG